TTGGATTTTTATTGTCAGTAGATCAAACTAAAGGTATTTTATGGTACTTTAGACTGATTCCAGTATTATAAAAGTTATTTGTGTTATAAACTCTCAAAACTTCTAGTCACCAATAAAAAGTCGAACTCTGACACACGCTGACATGAATCAGTGTCTGCCATCTCTGAACTCTGGATATTTTAGGGTTCAAACCTCTTTTGTAGCTTCAACTGTTGACTTTCTTTTGCTTTTAGAGCATTTAAACTCTGTTTTAGAACTAGAGTTGACAGCCTCACTCTGCAGAACACAAACATTCTCATTCTTCCTTCAGTCTCGCTCTTCCTTCATCTTCTCACATGCTGCTGGTCAGTCTGTCATGAAACACGGTCACTGGTGTGTGACGCTCTCAGCCAGTCGGTGGTTGTATCAGATGGGAGGGTGGGGGTAGGTTACAGTTGGGGTTAAGGCGGGTCCGGCATATCAGCTCCATGGCATGTGGGGGTCAGCACTGATTAAAAACCTGTCACTTGACCCCTTGGCTGTGTTCCAAAGTAGAAAGGAATAGAGTAGTGTGTGTGTGTGTGTGTGTGTGTGTGTGTGTGTGTGAACTTTTATTTTTTAAGACAAAAGAACAAAAATAATGCACAACGTTTTGAATACATTAAGATAAAAGGCCAGATGAACACTTGAATGGACAGAAAAATGCATTTTTAGCTCCATGTACCACGTTGTCTGTAAGACGAACACACACTCGTGCACACACAGTCATCCATCTCCTGGCCTATTAGAAGTTCTGGCCTTTGATCCCTGCCACTCGATTCACTGAGTCTTTTCTGACAACGCGTAATGAATACAAAGGGATGGAGGGGATCAAAGTCAAGAGGCGGGGTAAAGGTCGATACACGTGTGTGTGTCTGTGTGTAAAAAGTTGCATGTGCTCTTGGGGACAGTGACTTCCAAAACGGGACGGCGTGCTGTGCAGCCATTATGTTCAAAGGGAGGCGTGCCACTCAGAGGGCTTTGTTTTCCTCTAGTTTATGCAGTTCTTGCTGTAGGAGTTTTATTAGAGCAGATGCATTAGAAGTTGTTTGTAGTTCATTATGTTCTGGATGGGATTGTGGTTTTCATGGAAATGAAGGGAAGGTTAATTCGGCATCAGAAGCACATATTTTAGTGCTTTTGCTGGAAGCAGAAATGGCAGTCTGTAAATTTTGTCTTTGTTATAATGTAACAGTGGTAGAAGAACCCGGGACACACTGAGCTAACGTTTATCTGCACTTACTCACTTAGAAAAGGCTTTCGGTTTGGTTCAGTCCATCATGTAGACAAGCAGATCTGGAAAAAATGATTTATAAAAAAAGACGTAAGAACGTTGAGAGCTGAATTTCTGATTTTCAGAAACCGTTTCATCATACAGTCATTTTTCATCAAAGATTACAGTTTGAAGGCTCCATTCCTTTCACCTATTATCATTTCTATTTATCACTTTTAAATAAATCTTTATCGGATATTACCATACAGATCTGCCTGCATGACCAAGTCTATGTCCGATTAAAAACTCTCCAACGTCGTCGTCTTCGTCGTCTTCCTCCGCTTATCCGGGTCCGGGTCGCGGGGGCAGGATCCCAACTAGGGAGCTCCAGACCGTCCTCTCCCCAGCCTTCTCCACCAGCTCCTCCGGCAGGACTCCAAGGCGTTCCCGGACCAGATTGGAGATGTAACCTCTCCAGCATGTCCTGGGTCGACCCGGGAGCCTCCTGCCGGCAGGACATGCCCGAAACACCTCCCCGGGGAGCCGTCCAGGAGGCATCCTGACCAGATGCCCAAACAACCTCAACTGGCTCCTTTCGATCCGGAGGAGCAGCGGTTCTACTCCGAGTCCCTCCCGAATGTCCGAGCTCCTCACCCTATCTCTAAGGCTGAGCTCGGCCACCCTACCCTGTATCCGCAGTCTCGTTCTTTTGGTCATTACCCAAAGCTCATGACCATAGGTGAGGATTGGGACGTAGATCGACCGGTAAATCAAGAGCCTGGCTTTCTGGCTCAGCTCCCTCTTCACCACGACAGATCGGCTCAGCGTCCGCATCACTGCAGACGCTGAACCAATCCGCCTGTCGATCTCCCGATCCCTCCTACCCTCACTCGTGAACAAGACCCCAAGATACTTAAACTCCTCCACTTGAGGTAGGACCTCTCCCCCGACCCGGAGTTGGCAAGCCACCCTTTTCCGGTCGAGAACCATGGTCTCAGATTTGGAGGTGCTGATCCTCATTCCAGCTGCTTCACACTCGGCCGCAATTCTACCCTGCAAGAGCTGAAGGTCAGAGCTGGATGAAGCTAGGAGGACCACATCATCTGCAAAAAGAAGAGACGAGATTCTCCTGCCACCAATTTTGACACATTCCACACCACGGCTGTGCCTAGAAATTCTGTCCATAAAGGTAATGAACAGAACCGGTGACAAAGGGCAGCCCTGGCGGAGTCCAACCCTCACCGGGAACAGGTCCGACTTACTACCGGCTATGCGGACCAAACTCACGCTCCTCTGGTAAAGGGACTGAATGGCTCTTAACAGAAAGCCACCCACACCATACTCCTGGAGCGTCCCCCACAGGGTGCCCCTGGGGACACGGTCATAAGCCTTCTCGAAATCCACAAAACACGTGGATTGGTTGGGCAAACTCCCATGCCCCCTCCATCACCCTTGCAAGGGTATAGAGCTGGTCCACAGTTCCACGGCCATGACAAAAACCACATTGCTCCTCCTCAATCTGAGATTCAACTATCGGACCCTCCTCTCCAGTACCTTGGAGTAGACCTTTCCAGGGAGGCTGAGGAGTGTGATCCCCCTATAGTTGGAACACACCCTCTGGTCACCCTTCTAAAAGATGGGGACCACCACCCCGGTCTGCCACCCCACAGGAACTGCCCCCGATGACCACGCAATGTTGCAGAGACGTGTCAACCATGACAGCCCTACAACATCCATAGCCTTGAGATACCCAGGACGAACCTCATCCGCCCCCTGGGCTCCGCCACTGTGTAGTTGTTTGACTACCTCATCAACTTCTGCCCCCTAGATTGGACAGTCCATCCCCAGGTCTCCCGGCTCTGGTTCCTCCTCGGAATGCGCATAGGTGGGATTGAGGAGCTCCTCAAAGTATTCCTTCCACCCCCAGTTGACGTCAGCAGCTCCCCATCCCCACTGTAAACAGTGTGAGCGAGTTGCTGCCTTCCTGTCCTGAGTTTCCGGACAGTTTGCCAGAACCTCTTAGGAGCCGATCGATAGTCTTTCTCCATGGCCTCACCAAACTCCTCCCATGCCCGAGATTTTGCCTCTGCAACTGCCACTGCTGCACCCCGCTTGGCTATCCGGTACCTGTCTGCTGCCTCCGGAGACCCACAGACCAGCCACGCCCTGTAGGCCTCCTTCTTCAGCCTGACGGCTCCCCGAACCTCTGGTGTCCACCAGCGGGTACGGGGGTTGCCACCACGACTGGCACCGGCCACCTTGCGACCACAGCTAGGAACAGCCGCTTCAACAATCGCACAGTGGAACAAGGCCCACTCGGAGTCAATGTCCCCCACTGCTCTCGGGACGCGGTCAAAGCTCTGCCAGAGGTGGGAGTTGAAGACCGTCTTAACAGGTTCTTCTGCCAGGCGTTCCCAGCAGACCCTCACTATGCGTTTGGGTCTGCCAGGTCTACGCGGCATCTTCCCCTGCCATCTGATCCAACTCACTACCAGGTGATGATCAGTTGACAGCTCTGCTCCTCACTTCACTCGGGTGTCCAAAACATACAGCTGCAGGTCAGATGATACGACTACAAAGTCTATCATCGACCTGCGACCTAGGCTGCCCTGGTACCAAGTGTACCGATGGGCATCCTTATGTTCGAACATGGTGTTCGTTATGGCCAAACTGCGGCTTGCACAGAAGTCCAATAACGAAACACCACTTGAGTTCAGATCAGGCGGGCCATTCCTCCCAATCACACCCCTCCAGGTCAAGCTGTCATTGCCCACGTGAGCATTGAAGTCCCCCAGCAGGGCAATGGAGTCCCCTGATGGAGCACTATCTAGCACTCGTCCCAGGGACTCCAAAAAGGGTGGGTACTATGAACTGATATTTGGCCCATAAGCACAAACAACAGTCAGGACCTGTTCCCCGACCCGAAGGCGCAGGGAAGCTACCCTCTCATCCCCCGGGGTAAACCCCAACACACAGGCAGAGAGTCTTGGGGCTAACAAAAAGCCAACCCCAGCCCTCCGCCTCTCACCCGGAGCAACTCCAGCAAAGGAGAGTGTCCAACCCCTCTCAAGGACTTGGGTTCCAGAGCCAATGCTACGTGTCGAGGTGAGTCCGACTATATCTATCCGGTACTGCTCAACCTCTGCCACATGCTCCTGCTCCTTCCCCGCCAGCGAGGTGACGTTCCATGTCCCAAAAACCAGTTTTCTTGTCCGGGGATCGGACCGCCAAGGCTCCCGCCTTGGTCTGCCACCCGATCCACATTGCACCGGATCCTTCATGTTCCTCCTGCGGGTGGTGGTTCCACAGTTGGATGAGCTCATGTATCCGGTTCGGGCTGGGCCCGGCCGGGCCCCATGGGCGAAAGCCCGGCCACCAGGCGCTCGCTCACGGGCCCCAACCCCAGGCCTGGCTCCAGGGTGGGACCCCGGTAACCCTCCAGGCCGGGTACTCCGACTCTTTGAATTTGCTTCCGTGAAAGATCCTGTGAACCGTTCTTTTTAAAAAGTCTCCAATGTCGGTAGAGGAATGTGATGAAGGCACTAATCCTAATCCTCCATCTGGACTGAGCTGGTTCGGCTAACGGCTCAGCTCACCCTGGAGGGCGCAGGTAGAAACTTTGGGTAACAGTGAGGAGTCTTACCATGGTGATGAGTTTATATCTGTTATTGACACTCACTTTTAAAGTCATCAAAGGCCATGTAACAGTTAAACTAGACCATCTGCCTGAATATTGTCTGACTGCTGATTGTTCCTGGCTGTTGTTCAGGCTCGTTCCCATTCCTGCGAGAGCTGACGGAAGAGGAGAGGCAGCAGATCCTGCACTCCTCTGAGTTCCAGAGCTTCTTTGACTGCAGCATCCGGGTGATGGAGAGGGCTCTGGCTGAAGACAGCGACATTTTCTTCGACTACAGTGGCCGAGACCTGGAGGAAAAAGAGGGGTGAGCAGTTTTGTGCACACTCACCCTTCAGACTTTCCATTTAGATGCAATCTAAATTTCTCTTAACAAAAATCTCAGCTGCAAATGGAAGCATTCACTAAACATCACCAGCTTCCCAAAGCTAACTAACAGCCACTGTGTGGCTCCTAAAGCCCAGGAGTCTTTGTTCTCTGGAAAGCATGTCTTCATAATGATGTCACGCTCTCAGATGGTAAATGATTCCTGCAAACTGACAGCCGTCACATCTCAGAGCATTGTCTTGGAGATGGAGGTTATCTGAGCTTATGGTGGAAGCTGGGAGAGTCGTGAGTGCAAAGCTGTTTTAGGTTACCGCTCTGCTATTATGGAACAACTGCTTTCACTGACTTACTTGGATTTTGACCACCACAGCCGCAGAGAAGCACGAAGCCTGTGGTCAAATAAAGATTATGTCTAAAACAGGCCCAGCGCTCAGCATCAGACCTGTTCTTTTTCCTAATTCCTCCCCAGCGACGTGCTGCAGCATAGCCTACATTCCTCAGCCTTGCTTCTTTTTATACAGTCTCACCCAGCACTTTGAGACTAAGTATAACATAGATGCCATTCTGAAGCCGTGTGGATGTCATGCTGCTGCCTGTAATTTGTGTTAATTTGTGCTCCAATATGAGAAATGTGTATGACCTGGTAACAGAGTTGACATTTAGAGGTAAGAACTCATAGCTGGCCCAATGTTCTGCTGCAGCCAGTAACGTCAGATATTCTCTTATAGATTCAAGCTGCGTTTTTACAGCTTTTAAAGACTTCAATAACATTTGTCTGAGCACTGCAGAGATTCTAGTGATGCATTTTTTGTGTTTGATGAAACTTTTTTATAAGCATGGAAAAAAAACTAAAATCCAAGGAAAGCAGAAAAACGCGGATCGGATCAGCATTTCAGCGCTCCTCTCTTTAATGTAATTACTGTTGATTCATCATTTTGGACAAGCCAGGAGTGGATTTACATTAGTAAACAGAGCATTAAAGGTGCAGTATGTGAGAATTTTACTGTGAGAAAATCCCAAAAGAGTCTAAAGTTACAGTCCTTGTGGAAGGAAGGTTATACTGAAACATATTTCATATCCAGCTGGCTGCGGGGATTGTCAGTTTTTCTCCTCCACATCTTTAAGATATTTATAGACAAATAATGTGTCAGTTTTATTTATAATGGTATTTATTCATGTAATGCAACTGCAGATGCCTCAGCCACCTCAGTATAAATCTAAATGACATTATCACACCAGCTGAGCTGTACAATCACACTACTGTTGTGTTTTTACTTTCATTGTGCTTTTTAGAAATTATCCTCATTTCTTTTGTCCTCCATCGCACGTACCTGTGTTAGTGTTTATCCACCAGTAACAAATGTCCCCATCACACAGATGATCACCGGGCTGTGTGCGGTCCTAAACATAACCTCAGGGTTAGGAGTTTACCATTAAAGATTTTTGTAATTGAATTGGTGGAGAAGTGGACGAAGAAACCTAGAGGAATTAATCTCTTTACTTTAAGGCATTGGTTCCCAAACTTATTTAGCCGCGCACCCCCTTCTATGTCCCGACCATGTCGAACCCCCCCCCCCCCCCCCCGCCCCCCCATCGGGGCATGTCTCTCTCTCTCTCTCTCTCTCTCTCTCTCTCTCTCTCTCTCTCTCTCTCTCTAATATATCAGATGTCAAGCTAAACAGACAGGGTTAAAAAAATTCCCCATCACTTTCATTATTTAAATAGTAATTAATAAACATTCGATACCATTACAATTTCCTTTGATTTAATTTTAAATAAATATTTAGAGTGCCCAGGTAGCACATAAACAATGCAATTTAACGGTTTTCTTAAAGTAGGAACGTTTAACCTGTGTGGCCAGAGCGCTCTCCTTCCTTCTGCTCTGTGTAAACCTGAACTTATGACCTACTTGTGCGTAATCAAATGTCAATAGGGGACAAGATATAGCCATGATGTTCACTTTTACCTCAGACCGACTTATTGCTGTTTTATGGTGTGGCTGAATCTGCGATCCGCTGCCACGCGGACTGGAATAACACATGCTGCAGTAACAGGACTTGTGGTCAGGTTCATGAGGAGTCACTGGCTGGAGCGGACCCGACTCATCCCAGAAGCTAATATCTTAGTTTGACCTTGAATGAAAAATAACCTCTTAAAAGTTTTTATCGTGGTGGAGGCAGCGTTCATTTCTGCCTTCAGTCTGACGGCGCGCCGGAGTTAAAGCAGCGTGCGCGCTTATTGAATCTGTGTGTGTGTGCGCGCGCACGCGAGCGCAGCACAGCCGCTCAAGTCACTGCGTCTCGTTATTGGCGCTATTTAAACTTCTGCCCAGTCCAGATGTGCTCACATGTGCACCTGTGAGCCGTGGTTCAGCCAGAACGCGTCTGACCTCTGACAGACGCACTCTGAACTTCAGATCTTCAGCACGCTGTCAATAGCCTGAATGGGAATCATTTCTTGTTATTTAGTTACATCCACAATGTTCTGTGTGTGAGGTTTACAATGTCAGAACACCTGCATGAGACAGGGTGTTAATTACAATCTGCCAGAATGACTCACCACCTTCAGATTCCTCCAACACCGTTAAAAATGATCAAATACGGAACATATCGGCGTGTGCAGGCCAGAGTGCTGAAGCACTCGGCGCATTGTTATTATGAAGCTAGGGCACATGTGGAGGACACGCACTCAAAAATATACTTGTTTTCACTTACATTTATTGGGCCCACTTACTTTTTCTTTGGCCCACCCACAAATGAGTTTCTACAATAATGGTGACACATGACAGACTTCTCTAAGCTCCGCAGCCATTACACTTTTCACCTCGTGCACCCCCTAGCGGCAGCTCGCGCACCCCCAGGGGTGCGCGCACCACACTTTGGGAATCCCTGCTTTAAGGTATTAAGAGTATTTTTGCATCCTTTTATGCTGCTGTGAAGGTCTCTACTGCCTGTGATCACTCCAAATGTGAAAAAAATCCATTAATCCGTTTTCTGTCAGTGTTTGGTTTTAGGACTTATGTGAGAACAAGCCATTTCAAAAAGTCCCCATTTGTGATGTCACAAAATTTGAATTGGACCACCTCTCATGTTTAAGAAAACTGCTGCTGCTGGTGGAGCAGCTTCTCTACTCTGAGCCCCTCCCAGATATTGGAGCTTCTCAGCTTACAGCAGCCTGAGTAGGGGATCGGTGGGCGTGGCTAGCTCCAGCTTTTTTTCTTAAAGTGACAAAGCCCTGAAACAGCTCACTCCAGAAGGTACTGTAACTGTCAAGAATAAAACTGCTGAGATTGCTCTCTGTCATGGAAATGTATCAATATGTTTATCAATAAACCCATTTCCTGCAGCTAGAGAGAGGGACAAGAAACAATGAGGCAGACACACAACCAAATCACGATTTAGTGGCAAATGCTCCGAACATCTGGTCACAGAGTTTATTTAAAGAAAAAGATAAGGAAGGAATGGGAGTGGATCATGTGTGTGAGAGAGAGGGTGTGTGTGTATAGGAGGACAACTGTGTGTGTGTGTGTGTGTGTGTGTGTGTGCGTGCGTGCGTGCGTGCGTGTGTGTGTGCGTGTGTGTGTGAATGCTTTCAGGACGTTCAGCTAACAGATCTGTTACTAGAACCAAAGTAATGAAATATAACATTTCCACAACACTTTCAATTAGAGGGATTTAGTGCAGAGAACGTCATGAACATGTTTTGTATCAACCATACATTTGTTGAAATATCACAATATGTTTCTTTTAATAAATGAATACATCACATCATAGTTTATGTATTAAGTCTTTTAACTTTCTGAGCCATGTTCCCAGCACCTGGTACATTTTTTCTTCTCTTCATTTCTTCTTCTAGAGACTCAGGTAGTGGCTCCAGTTTGTCCTTCAGCCGACTCTTCTATGACGAGCACTGGTCCAAACATCGTGTTATCACCTGTCTGGACTGGTCCCCTCAGGTCACTCTGATCTCATCCCTTAACACGTTCCAATAACTCTCCACAGATTCTTCTCAAAACTTTCATTCTCTGACATTTTAAGAGAAAATCACTTTATATTTATGGATTTTTTTTATCTGTTCTGCCCTCCTGCTTCTTTCCTTTCCCTCTGTCAGTACCCTGAGTTGTTGGTCGCCTCCTATAATAACAATGAAGATGCTCCTCATGAACCAGATGGTGTTGCCCTGGTGTGGAACATGAAGTTTAAGAAGGCAACCCCAGAGTACATCTTTCACTGTCAGGTATTTCCAGATGTCTAGAATATGACTATAATGTTTGAACTGAATGTTTAAATGTATCCAGTCATTCCCAAACCTAACTTGAGGGTACCAACCAAGGGTTTTATGAGTAAATTTAAATCTCCATCTTCAGGTTAAAAACTCTGCTCCACATTTATTCAGAACCAGCTGTGGCTGATGGCTAAGCTGAAAAACATGACGTCCGCAAATTACTGCGCGGCTGCGCTGCACTGGTCTCCAGGTTAGGCAGCCGCACCTCCACCTGGCTCAGCCACTCACCTGCTGATATGACACGTTGGCGCTCGGAGCCGCTCGCCTCCTTGAAAAAACTGCCTCCTCCCCTTTTCATCAAATGATTGTGATTAACTGGAAATACTCCAGAATGCTGCAGAATCTGTGCCTGCTTTTTTCCCAAGGGGTAAGTCTTGTGCGAGTGCGTGCTTGCGTGCACGCGCGAGTGTGCACGAGCTAGTTAACAACTCGTTTTTAGATTGAGAAACTCTGACAGTGCACGCGGGGGTGTTGAGGGGTGTGCAGTGAGTCTACCACTGCCTCAGTGCCGCTGTTTCGGTCCGCCAGACGGCGCCTCTTTCAGAAGCGTTTTCCTAACAGGAAGTGTGGATGAAATACGTCTCCACCCATGCCTTGACTCTCACTTTAAATATTTAGTGATTCTTAACTTCTTCCTGTGAGACTGGTGGGGTGGCACCCTAGCGCCCCTTATGGTTGAACCGCCACTGCTCAGAAAACCCCCACGACCAGAACACATATGCCATAATTCCAACCCTGTACTCTACTGAGAGTGAATTGTATCCATCCGTTTAGTCTTATAGGACTTGTGGAGGCCAGATTTTAAAAGGCTGAGGTTTAAAGGGAAGGACACAAAGACACCGGTAGAATGAGGTTGAGGATTTTCAGAGGTCCCATGAATTTGGAAAGACCATGTGTTTGAGTCGTGAACTGCCATGGTTTACCACTTTCTAATCTAACACTGCATGAGTGTGTGTGTTAGCCCACCCACTTGGGTCTGATGCTACATCAGTAATGCTGCCGTAGGTCTTTCTCATGAGATATAAATCAACTGTCCAATCCTGACAGTTTAAAGGATTCCTTTAAGAACAAACCAAGTTAAATACTGTGTAGAATTAGTTTTACATCCTTTCATGGCACCATATGTCCAGCTGCTGCAGAAATAAGTGCGGTTACATGCACATATCACAGCCACGTATCTTGTCACTGGAACTTTCTGCAGACTTTCAATGTGGTGCCTTCATAAAATATGCACCGAACATGTACGCCTGACGTTGTTACCAGTGTGGTTTCTGTGCCTGCTGATCTGTGAATTGTCAGCACAGAGCAGTAGACTTTTGGAAACAAGAGTATTTGTGTAAGCAGCCAATAAAATGCTGTGTGTATCTACGGGAGAGGGGTCTTTTTCTTCTTCTGTCGCGTGAAGCAGAGCTGCCCGGCAGTGGCTAAGTGGACGGGAACATAATGGCACCATTTAGCCCTGGAGAATTCTGAAATCTTCATTGTGTCACTCATTTAAGTCACTTGAACACACAGTTTACTTGTCACAAGCAGAGATGTGTTTTAATTGAGGGCTAATGCTGAGAGGAGAGAAAAAGAAGACCCTTGAGTGCCCAACACCCTAGCCAGCATGGCCTGGAATTCCGCCTTGGTCTGTTTTTTTTTGACAGGAAAAAGAAAAGTGACACTAAAGAGCAGTAGATGATGACATTAAGATCCAGTATTTAAATACATAATACAGTATAAGATCATAAACGTGATGGTGAAAGTTGGTTTTGCAAACAGCTCTAGCTAGCTGTATATCAGAGAGCTCTTAATGTGTGAGCCTGTTCTGCTGTTTAACCCCATGAAACCAGAGGCCTCGGTGCCTTTTCCTCTTCTGCAGCTTTTTCACTTCCACCTTCTGCTTCAGGCAAGAATAAAAACCATGTGCTTTCTCCCCCCTGCATCTGTAATCACACTCTTGCCATTTGCTATAACACTCAGACATGCACGTATTGCACGCTGTGTGGCAAACCCTGCTGCTGTTAGCAAACAACACTTCAGACTAGTTCTTATTTTGTTTCTCAGATTTACACACAGATTACTTTTTGTTGTAGCAGTGTGTGTGTGTGTGTGTGTGTGTGTGTGTGTGTATGTATGTATGTATGAGTGCGTGTGTGTGTGCGTGCGTGCGTGCGTGTGTGTGTATGTATGTATGAGTGCGTGTGTGTGTGTGTGCATGCGTGTGTGTGTGCGCGCGTGTGTGTGCGTGTGTGTGTTCCTGAGCTCTGCTTCTCTGATGAAGATGTTTATTCCTGTACTAATTTAATAAATTAGGGTTTCTGTGTTTATAAAAACTTTGTAAAATTTATGATTTTCTAAAAATAAAATTAGCTTTGTCTAGCTTACAAGTGAAACGTGTCCAAAAGTCCATTTATTTCCATAATTCAGCTTGAACAGAGAGACCATTTAAAACCCCAGTGTGTAATATTTTTACTTGTTTACTATCAAATTGTGTGTATCCAGTAGGGTTGGGTGATTTGTAATCATTTCCCACCGCCAATCATCAGTCCAAGAAATTACGATGGGCGAGTTATTTGTGCATGTGACCAATGGCACCCCCAAGGGGTGGCCATGGCCAGCCCTTGAAAATAGCTGCGTGTTTGTAAAACTTTTGTTAGGTGTTTTGGATACATACAGTGTTTTTTTTTAAATAAAAACAAATAAAGGAGCAATGCAGTGCATCGCCACAGGCTAAACGCTCCCAGAGTTACCACAAGGACCAATTTGGTGTGCCAAACAAACAACCACCACGACTGCTCCGTTTCCAGGAATATTTTATAATCCCAAAGCTGCTAAAAGAGAAATTTATCTCTGAAATCATCACGCAGACAAATTAGCTCCAACTGAGTCAGATTATGTTAGTGACTGAACAGATTTAACAGTAATAATATTAGAACAATCAAGTGAACGCCGGTTCATATTGTGTTGTTCTACGTTTTCCCTGTATCTGTCTGCAACAAGCATGTATGGCAAGCCATTTTACTATTTAATCAACAACACCTCTCTGTTATTCCTGTTCTACATAGCAATAATATAATTTAACCATGTCCAAATAATATTCTTACGGATTAAATTTGAAAAGATAAGAACAAGTAGAATAACATTTAAATAATATTCATAAAAACAACTGCACATGTAGGAATTTAGCATCTTAATTCATTAAGGTTTCTCCATCCTTCAGTGCTAACCCTGACCAACAGTTAAACCTTCTCGTCTTTTTACAGAAACTCAAAAAAGACTATTATGCAAATACAATTAAAGGTGTGGAACACTGAAAGGGGGTTTGCGCCTCACTTTTGTCAAAGCAGCGGCCCAACAACATCTCCTAATTCATGGATTTTCTGCATCCTGATTACATGACGTGTGACACACACAAGTGGAGATCAGTTTTAGAGCTGTGATGTTTACTCTTACAGTGCTCTTATGGTTTAAATCTCCTTTTAAAACATGTTTAAACTGTTCAGAATACAAATAGCTCTGTCTCGTTGTATTGTTGCAGTTAAACTTTGTACTGAATAAAACTTTACATTAAACAATGTTCAAAATGTAAGAAGAGGATCTGATCAATTAGTTTTTTTCCTCATTTACAGCGATGGAGATAACAGCGCAGTGCGCATGGCTCTGGTGTTAGTCAAGTTTAATGTTTCTCTTTGCAACAATCTTCACATGACGGCAGAACAATTAAATGCCAGGGTTTGTATTGACTCGATATTTCCCGGATTTGACCGTTTATTTTGACGAGGAAAGAATAGAAGGAATTACTCCGAAGCATGCAGATGCGCTGACATTTTAATCGTTACGCTTATCGCGGAGGTAGCTAAATCAATCAAGCTCAGCGCAGCTCGCTATCACTGCATGCGGGAAGATTCATCTCACTGAAGCGAGTGTTTTACAAATCCTTGTCACTTAGAAAATGTTCCCTGATTATGAAACTTTGGCTGAATAGTGCTTGTTCCTGTCTCCAATGTGGCAACGCTGAGACGCATCCATGAGCCTGTCTGAGGCAAAGCCCAGGATCTCATATCCTCTCCAGCTCAGAAAGCGTCTATAGAGACATTTGATTACGCACAAGCAGGTGACCTGTAGACCAGGTTTAACCTGTTCTGGTTCACGCGGAGCAGAACGAGAGTGCGTTGGGGCCATGGGTGAAATGTTACTACTAAGTTAGATTATGTATTTATAATGTTCAGGATACACTGGTCAGGTTGTTTAGACCAGTGCTTGAAGTGCAAAACACACACACACACACACACACACACACACACACACACACACACACACACACACACACACACACACACACACACACACACACACACACACACACACACACACACACACACACTGCCTTTATGACACAGAGGGACACAATTGTTTTATTTATTTCAGGACTTTATTTATTTATTTATTTATTTATTTATTTATTTATTCACTTCAGTCCATTCAAACAAATTAAAATCAAATACAAAGTAAACATTTCTTATATAGAGGATTTAAATATTCCTCTTTGGTCCTTAAAGGGGAATAGGGAGAAGCTCAAGGCTTGTCATTGCCCTATCCCTCAACATCTTTCCATTTCCAAAATCCAAATAAACATCTCTACACATTCATCATAAACAAAATCAATAGACAAAACTTAAATTTTCACATTAGCAAGAAATCATATAAACACTTATACTTTTACATCTTAAATAAAATCTAAAATCTAAATCTAAATTCAAAATTACGTCTTATTGACTTTGCTTTACCAAGTCTTTAATGTCCATCGTAATTCATCACAAATTGGTAATTTTCCAAAAGTTTTCTTCTATATAATTTTTTGAATTGGACAACAGTTTTACATTATTTTTTTATGTTTTCCTCTATTCCACCAAACCACTCCTCGGACTGAAATGATCATACTTTTTTGTGTGGTACGTACACATGAT